GTGCAAATGAATGCCCAAACGACGACGAGCGATGAAGGCTTCGAGGGGGAGGGGGGGGCAGGCGCGAGACGGAGGAGGGTGGACGGAGGGTTCGGGGGCAACACTTTGGGCCACATTTGGGCCCCGAAGCGCGTGGGCAAGAGGAAGAGGAGGAGGGGGGGGGATAAAGGTGGACGAGGAGGAGCACCACATCCAGCCGTGTCAGCCCCTGCGTACAAGAACATCGGATAAAGCCCCATCCTCTTTCTCCTCTTCCGCCCTCTCCCCCTCTTCTCGTCTTCCTCGTCCCCTGTCCTCCTCCCCCTCATCCCCCATCCTCCTCCTCCTGCCCTCCCTCCCCTCCCCATCCCTCCTCCTTCTCCCCCTTTCCCTTCGCCTCGTTTTCCCAATCCTCCTGCTCGTGTTTCGCCTAACCCACCTCCTCCTCCTCGCCATTCTCTACCCTTTCCTCTGGGACCCTCCTCTCCCGCCTCCCCTCCCCGTCGTCCTCTCCGATTCCCGCCCCCCCCTCCTTTCCTCCTCCTCCTCCTCCTCCTTCCCCTCCCCCTCCTCCTCGTCCTCCTCCTCCTCCTCCTCTGGCCCCCGCGGTCCTTGCACAGGTGGTGCTGCTGGTTGCACTGGTGGTGCTGCTGGTTGCGCTGGTGCTGCTGGTTGCACTGGTGCTGCTGGTGCTTCTTCCTCCAGCTGGAAGAAGCCCTGGTACATAGGCTGGGCCAAAATGGCTGCGGTGCTTCATCCTCTCTCTCTCTCTCTCTTCTCTCCGCTCTTCTGTTCCCTCCTCATCTTCTGTCTTCCCACTCCCTCCTCCTCGTGGACCCCGCTCCGTTCTCTCCGCCTCTCACCTCCTCCTCCATCCATGCCCCCCTTCCTCCCTCCCCTGGTCTAGAGCTCTCAACAGCCTCCCGCGCGTAGACAATGTCTGGGGACCTTTCGGGACGAATGTGCTCATTTACGACTACATGTATTTCATAAGCTGTTATCACAAAATTACACGAAAAGTTGCATGCTTCTACATCGCCCTATTCTAATGTAAACCAATCATATACGCGTTTCCTACACCCTAAACCCGAATTAACTTCCATATGGCAGCTGTGGGATTCAACCCCTCCCCCCCCCCCCCCCCTCCGGATCCGGAAAACCGAGGGGGGGTCACTACCGGTTCGAACCCCCCCCCCTCCCCCCCCCTCGAAAACCGGAGGGGGATCACTACCGGTTCGAACCCCTCCCCACCCCCCCACTCACCGCCGCCAGCAAACGACTCCTGGTCCCTACCACCGTCCGCATCACATCCTCCACTGCTGTTCCCAGCACCACTGTCCTCACCACCACTGTCCCCACTGTGTCCCCACCAGTGCCCCCACCACTGTCGCACTGTCCCCACTGTTCCCACCACTGTTCCCACCACGGTTCCACTCTCCCCACTGTCTCCACGGACCCAACCACTGCCCGACTATCCCCACTGTCCCCACTGTCCCACTGACTCCTCCGCTGTCCCACTGAGCTGTCCCACTGTTCCCACCACTGTCCCCACTGTCCCCACCACTGTCCCCACTGTACCTCTGTCCCATTGTCCCACCGCCGTCCTCGCCACCGCCTTCACCACTGTCCCCACCACCATTGTACCCTCCACTGTCCCATTGTTTCCACCTCATTCCCACTGTGCCCACACCACTGTCCCCACCACCACCGTCCCCACCACTGTCCACTGTCCCCCCTGTTCCCACCATTGTCCCCACCACTGTCCCCACCACTACCGGCCCTCTACTGTCCCACTGTCCCACTGTCCCCACCACTGTCCCGCTGTCCCCTCACCACTGTCCCACCAACACCGTCCCCACCTCTGTCCGCACCCCCACTCGGTTTTCGAAGGGGGGGGGGGGGGGTTCGAACTGGTAGTGACCCCCCCCCCTTTTCATGATGAGCTGGGGGGGGGGGGAGGGGTTCGAACCGGTAGTGACCCCGCCCGGTTTTCCGGAGGGGGGGGGGGGGGGGGGGAGGGGTTCGAACCGGTAGTGACCCCCCCCGGTTTTCCGCCAGCAGCGGTAGAACACGCTCTTTCTCATCATCAGCATCAGCATCATCATCAGCATCAGCATCATCATCATCAGCATCATAAGCATCAGCATCATCAACATCAGCATCAGCATCAGGTATCATCCTCATCATCACCACCATCAGCAGCAACAACAATGTCATCATCAGCATCATCATCAGCAGCAGCATCATCAACGTCACCACCATCATCATCAGCAGCACCATCATAATCAGCATCATCAGCATCATCAACAGCATCATCGTTATCAGCACCAGCATCAACAACTTCATATTCACGATCATCATCATCATCATCATCATCATCATCATCATCAGCAGCAACAGCCATAACAAGATTTTCGTCGCTGCTTCCTCGCTTCTTCGTTCACGCTCCTGTCTCTCCTGCTTTCGGAGCAGGGCGAGTTGAGACAACGGCAACTCAAAATCGGACCCCTGACCCCTCCCGGGGTCCCAAGGCACCAGTGCTCCAAGCTGCGCCCAGCCGTAGAGACGACCCCGCCAAAAGAGCCAACTATCGTTGTCTCACCTCGCACTCCTCTGGCCTCCTCCTCCTCTTCCTCCTCATCCCTTTCCTCCCTTTCCTCCTCCGCCTCCTCCTCCTCCTCCTCCTCCTCCTCCTCCTCCTCCTCCTCCTCCTCCTCCTCCTCCTCCTCCTCCTCCTCCCCCCCTCCTCCTCCTCCTCCTTCTCCTCCTCATGGCTCAAGCCGCTCTGGCTCAAGGCCCCGCCCATGCGTTTCTTTGTTGACGTTGAATTGCTGGGCACCTCGCTAGGACACCGTGTTAGGGAATTCTCTCAGTGCTTCGGAGTTTCCAACGATGAGCTCGAGATCGTCGTTCTCGCAGGAGGCTCTATCTAAGGCTGCACCCCTGTCGCCGCCGCCAGGGATTTGGAGCCCGTTCGACGTGGTGTACCTGGAATTCAACAAGGACATGCAGCCTCCGGAGCAGATTTCCCTGCCGATGAAGCCAGAGGGGGAGGTGCAGTCAGTAAAACGTCTGAGGAGATCGGGCCGTTTGAAGGTCAATCAGAAGGCGTCGGCTCAGCGTGTGGCCCCGGTTTTGAAGGAGAATGTCGAAGGTGCCAGTACGGGGGCCCCGACATCGACGGTAGCAAAGGAGGTACTTTCTCATCCTCAGGAGCCTCCGGACGCTTCGAGGGCTCGCATGAAGATCCCGACGCGCCGCTGGCTCCGAAGGTGGCAGTGGCCAAGCGCCCTCGGAAGCGCAAGCACATGAAGAGGCACACGGACGTCCGCTCGGAGGAGGCCAAGGCGGGCTTGAAGGAGTGGCCGCCAGCACCCCCGCCAGCAAGGGCTGCATCGAGCAGCTCTGCGTTGCGGGTGCCGCCGCCGCCCCCACCGCTCCGTATTCCCCGCACCCCGCCGAGGAAGAGTCCAGGGCCTTGAATTGCTTCATCGGCGATCGCTCTCGCCGTAGAAGGAAGCACAAGAAGAGGGAGAAAGAAAAGTGGATTCAAACGCACTCTTGGCTGAGCCTCCCTCTGATGAGGCTCGCTCGTCTGTCGCTGAAGCCGCCTCAGCAATCGTGCCCTCAGTGGTCTCTTCAAGTGCTGGTTTGGCTGAGCCTCCAACTGTTGAGGCTCGCCCTACGCTTGTGGAGCCGCTTTTGGCTGAGCCTCCGTCTGATGAGGTTCGCCTTTCAGCTGCTACTTTGGCTGAGCCTCTTTCCGAGGCTCCCCCAGGAGAGTTCGTTGACGCTGGTTTGGGGCTGCCTCTTTCGGTTGAGGCGCCCTCCGATCAGAAGGCTATGAGCGCTCTTCCGGTGCAAGCGTGCCCTCAGTGGTCTCTGCAAGTGCTGTTTTGGCTGAGCCCCCTGCTGTTGAGGCAGGCTCGCCCTACGCTTGTGGAGCCTTTTTTGGCTGAGCCTCCGTCTGATGAGGTTCGCCTTTCAGCTGCTACTTTGGCTGAGCCTCTTTCCGAGGCTCCCCCAGGAGAGTTCGTTGACGCTGGTTTGGGGCTGCTTCCTTCGGTTAAGGCGCCCTCCGATCATAGCGCTCTTGCGGGTGAGGTGAAAGTTCGGCCCTTTCACGGCAGCATTTTTCCAGACCCGAGTTTCAGACGGGTCCTTTACCTTCGGGCGCGAAGACGCCCGTAGGCTCGAGTTTCGACGAGGGTGCGAAGGCGCTCTCAGTCTCTGACCTCGAGTTGCTCAGCTGCTTTTCCGACGGTGATGAGGTAATTGAAAGGCTGCGGGTAGAGCAGTGGCTAGTGGCACCCGTTTAGAGTGCAGCGTCTCGGTTGGTCCCGGCAGAGGCTACAAGGGACATGCCAGTCGTACAGCCTTGCAGGCAAACGCTAGCTAGGCAGCTGTATGCAGCTAGCCTCAATGTTCATGCCACCAAGTTTTAACCTGCTTGCAGAGTTTAGCTTGTCGTCGCACACAGTGAAAATCATTGTCCTCCTCATCTTCCTCCTCCCCCTCCCCCTCCTCCTCCTCCTCCTCCTCCTCCTCCTCCTCCTCATCCTCATCATCATCATCATCGTCATCATCATCATCATCATCATCATCATCATCATCATCATCATCATCATCATCATCATCATCATCATCATCATCATCATCATCATCATCATCATCATCATCATCATCATCATCATCATCATCATCATCATCATCATCATACTCTTCCTTCTCTTCCTTCTCCTCTCCTTCCCCTCCTCGTCTTCTCCTTCCCCTGGGCTTCCCTCCCCCGTCCTCCTCCCGCTCTGCGCTATTGCCGGCAGTGCGCTCCTCTCCTCCCTCCTCCTCCTCCTCCTCCTCCTCCTCCTCCTCCTCCTCCTCCTCCTCCTCCCCTCCTCCCCCTCCCCCTCCCCCTCCCCCTCCTCCTCCTCCTCCTCCTCCTCCTCCTCCTCCTCCTCCTCCTCCTCCTCCTCCTCCTCCTCCTCCTCCTCCTCCTCCTCCTCCTCCTCCTCCTCCTCCTCCGCTGGCCTCCTCCACACGTCGCCCCGTGGCCCTGGCCGCCCTACACACCGCCGGCGGCTACTCGGCCCGGAAGAACGGCCAGGCGGACGGCCCCGTCGCGGCGTGCTGCTTGGCCGACGCCTCAGCGGTCAACCGCGTGCGCACCTGGCGAGGAGGTGCCGCGCGGGCGCTCGAGCGCGGCGTGGACAACAAAAAAGAGAACGAGGAGAGAATGAAGGAAGAAGAGAGAAAAGAAACATAATCAGGAATGAGGAGGATCAGGAGGAGGAGGAGGAGGAGGAGCAAGGCGGGGGGAGAGCGGAGGACAAGGAGGGGGAAGGGGAGGAGGAGGAGGATTGAGGGGAAGAGGAGGGGAGAACGAGAGAGAGGGGGAGGGGGACGGGGGGGAGAACGAGAGAGAGGGGGACGGGGGCGGCGAGGCGAGGCGCAAAACGCCTCGAGAGCGGGGAGCCCACGCCGAGGCCGCGAACGGCAGCACCGGGCCGAGAGCGGCGCCCCTGGCCCCCTCTTGCGGAGGGAGTGTGTGGTGACCAGGGGGCGGCGGCGCTCGAGTGTCGAGGCCTCTCGACCTGCGGAGACGCCTGTCCCACGCAGGGGCGACGCCTCCTCCTCCTCCTCCTCCTCCTCCTCCTCCTCCTCCTCCTCCTCCTCCTCCTCCTCCTCCTCCTCCCCCTCCCTCTCCCCCTCCCCCTCCTCCTGCCTCCCCCCCCCTTCAGACGCCAGGCAAGGCTTAACGAGCAACCCTCACTGTGCGCCCTGGCACGCCGAGGTGCGGCAGCCTGCCAAGTGCTGCCCGTCACGGCCTCTGCAAGCATGATTAAAGGGAAACTGGGACACACAAATAAATACACACAAATAAAAGTATCCCCCATATTTTCCTATATTTTCTGGGTTTTTGTCTTCCCCCCCACTTCCCATATTTTCTCATATTTTCTTGGAATCGGCGATTAATTCTGTCTGTGTGTTCTTTCCCCTCCTGAATGATGTGCCCAACCCGCCCACCTCCCGAGGCTCACTGGGCGGCCCGACACTTCCTCGAACCTTGCCGAAGCTCTCGAAGGCTTCCAGCACGGCCAGGAAGGCCACCGATGAAGGGGCCCCAGGACACACAAATACATACACACAAATAAAAATGTGCCCCATATTTTCACATATTTTCTGGGTTTTTGTCTTCCAACCCACTTCCCATATTTTCCCATATTTTCCTTGGAATCGACGATTAATTGTGTCTGTGTGTTTCTTTTCCTCCTGAACCGAGGCCGCCCAAATGTCCCAACATCGCCTGCAGAAGAAACCCCAAGGAGGGCCAGCAGGCCCCAAAACGCTTCCCAGACGTTTTCCTCAACAAGCCCCAAGAAAAGAAACGTTACAAACAACAAAAACATATAGATTGGCTCCATGTGGCCTTCTGATGCCCCAAATAACCTGCCAAGAGGCTCCCGGATCAAAGAGGTCCGCCGGCGCATGTATGGTTGACTCCAATGTCTGCCCAGGTTAATGCCGAGCTTATGACGATTGCCCCCTCTTGTTCATGCACTTCAGTGAAGACATGTCGCCTAGGCACGCTTCTAGGTGGGATGGTGGGAATACGAGAAGCTACACAAGAGTCGAAGAAGAGCAATTGAAGGCACAGGATGGAATATACAGGGTAGAGCATGAGGAGAACGAGTGCGGGTGGAGGCTCGCTCAGAGGCAGCAGGCGGACAGGTGAATAATGGAGAATGGGGGAGGGAAACAGGTGGAAAGATGGCGCAGACGAGAAGTAGCCGGAGGATGACGGAAACGAGAAGCGGGGGGGTGCCATGAGGAGGGGGAGGGGGATAACGACGATTACACGGACAGCGCTGGTGATGGTGATGGTGATGCTGATGATGATGATGCTGCTGCTGCTGCTGCTGATGATGATGATGATGATGATGATGATGATGATGATGATGATGGTGATGGTGATGGTGATGGTGATGATGATGAGAGGAGGGAAAAGGATAAGGACAAGGCCGTTGGGGGCCCATGGTCTGCTAGCTCGGCTGCTGGCTACTGGCAGGGACACCCGTGGGGAGGAACATGGATGCGGGCCCCGATGCCCATCGGCTCAGGAGGTCTGGTGAGGCCCGCCTCCGGTCTGCGCCGGGGAACGGGCAGCCCGCCAGCCGGGAGACCCCGGCCCAGAGGCCAGGAGAAGCAGGCTGCACGAGGGAGGGAGCTGCCTCTGCTGTTCGGAGGCAAAGCCCCTCCCCTCCCCGCCTCAAGGAGCCGCCGCCGCGCCCCTCCGCCACCCCCACTCCCTCCCGCCCCCCCATCCCTCCTGCACAGACCGCAGCGCGAGACGAGCTCATGCTGTGCAGCGCAGCACCGTCCGACCACCTGTGCGAGTGTGCTGTTGGCCGAAGTCCCGAAACAGGCGCGCGGCGCCACCCAAGACTAGGCTGCTCGCACTATCCTCCAGGCCATGCCTCCCTCCAGGCGGGAGAAAGACCACCGACACAACTCCCTGGTAGCTGAGGTGTGCGGTGTCACCCGTGGCAGCGCAAGTCGCGCTGTCAGCCAGGCCGTGCCCCCCGCAGACGCGGGAAGGCCACCGAGCCCGCTCCATCGGATTGTTCAAGCAACAAGTTTGAGGGCGCGATCTTGCACCTCCAAAACAACTCCAACATAGATCCAAGTTTCAATTGCTGTGTACACATACTGATTTGAAAACCCGCGTTGGAGTCGCAGCCTGGTGCCAGAAAGCGTGATTTCTGCATTTGCCAAAGAGATCGCGCGCACTTGCTCCGGCAAGCGGGCAGATGCGTATGGTGTTCTATTATCTTATTCGGTATGCTCCCAGGCATTGCACACATCTTCGAATATCATGCCATGCGTTTGTATGGTTGCTTGGTAGATACGCCTGGGCTCCCCGATATGTTTCGTGTGTTTGTTGGAAGGGAGTCCGATTGATCTCTGTTGAACCCTTCTGCCAACGCAACTGCTTCTTCCAGTTGAGACAGCCGTTGTCGACCGTCGAGTTATCCGCGATTTCTTGGCACAAACCCTCTATATAGGAATCCAGACCGAAAGGAAACGCATCTAAGATAGACTGAGATGTTATCAGAAAGGCTTCATTGCGATTCGACCCCATCAGCTCCTCAACATACGCATATTCCGATTGCCCCCCATTATCCTCGTGTTGGCAACGTTAATGCTTCCAGCCTGCCCTTTATTGCATCCATTGATTCGGTGCTGCCTGCTAGCCGCTGGTGGCAACGTCATCGCTGCTGATACTCTGGCCTTCCAGCTCGAACGTAGCGCGCCAAGCAGTTCACTGCGCCTTAGAATCGTGGTCCGTGTGCTTTCGCTGCGACGATGGGGGCGAATTGCCCGGGGGAGAGCAATACTAACGAGCCTCGAACATATCCCTATCCCTAAGATGGGCGAGCAAAAAGCGAGGACAATCTCAGGGATAGGCCCTCAAAAACTGAGGAAATCCTTTTAAGATCGGCATCGAGGTGAGGTGATGTCAAACATAGGGATAGGGATATGCTCCAGGCTGGTAAAATACATGTATCCAGGGGCGTCGATGGTCCGTGCCTTCGGCGAGGCTCCCGGACGAATGCGTGCAATGCCCGCCCCTGGGCTCTTCGCCCCTGTCGCCGCGCCGAGCGACCGCCTGATCCGGGTCCGCTCGATACCGTCGGGGATCTTCTGGCCCGACCCGGGTCGGCAGGAAGCCAACAAAACTGCAATGCAGGACAAAAAAAACAACCGCAGCGCAGGTCTTCGCACCCCCGGGTCAGCCCAGAGGCGCGGCCGCCTCGCGGCCACGAGCGGCTCGCGGACCCGGGTCAGCCACAGGGGGTCCTTCGCAGGATCCTGCAGGATCTGGCGCCCTGGCTGACCCCCGTTGGCAATGACCCGAGGAGGAGGCTCCCGAGGCTCCTAGACACTGGGGAGGCTCCCGAGGAGGCTCCCGAGGCTCCCGAGGAGCAGGCCCCCGAGGCTCCCGAGGAGGAGGCTCCAGAGACTGAAAAATGGCGCCCCGAGGCTCCCGACACCGAATCCCGGCGGCGCTCCCGGCCTGCCGACGCGGCCGCCGTGCACTCGGGCAGCCCTCCTCCTCCTCCTCCTCCTCCTCCTCCTCCTCCTCCTCCTCCTCCCCCTCCTCCTCCCCCTCCTCCTCCTCCTCCTCCTCCTCCTCCTCCCCCTCCTCCTCCTCCTCCTCCTCCTCCTCCTCCTCCTCCTCCTCCTCCTCCTCCTCCTCCTCCTCCTGAGCGGCTCCCCCGGTCCCCCCCTCTGCCCCCGAAGCGCCCGCGGGCCCAGGGCGCAGGGACCTTCTGAGGCCTGATAGGGGTCATCCTTTCGGCTGGGGGGGGGCAGCCGGGGAGGCCCCGAAGGCAGGGAGGAGGAGGAAAAGGAGGAGGAGGAGGCCTCGAGCGGAGGGAGGAGGAGGAGGAGGAGGAGGAGGAGGAGGAGGAGGAGGAGGAGGAGGAGCAGGAGGAGCCCAGCGTAGAGAGGCAGGGTTCGTCAGCAACTCAGACCCCACGGGTGGGGGGTGGCGGCGGGCCGCCGAACGAAAGGGCCTCGGCTGGAGGCGCTGACGCGACAGCGTCGAGACAGAGAGGCGAGGAGGAGCAGGAGGAGGAGAAGGAGGAGGAGGCTCAGGATGATGGTGAGGAAGGTGCTGATGCTTGTGCAGAAGGCGATGAGGATGATGGCGAAAGTGATGATGATCGCAAGCCTCCATCGCGTGTCTAGCAGCAAGAGGAAAGGATACGGCATTCAGACAATCGTGCAAAACGTGCGCGGTGCAGAACGCCGAACTACCCTAACATAAAAAATCGATCAATCGCGCAGCACTCCCTCGGACTCGCACTCGCCTCCTCTGATACCGTTTTCGAACACTTTGTTTTTCGCATGCTTGCGGGCCTGCGCACAAGGCGCCATGTCCACCATCATGGCGCCAGACAGCTCCAACTCGCGTGGGTAGTCGCCGAAACAGTCGAAGCACGGCACCTCGTTCGTCGGTACACTCTGGACGCCCTCCTGCATAGAATGCAGGGGGAGGGCCTGGAGCTGCATGGCAATGGTCCTAAACGAACAGGCGAGGTCCTCAATATGTTGAGTCCAGGAGGGGCGTCTGGCGGGGGGGTTGGAGACGAGCATCTTCCTCTCAGGCACCAGGAAGTTGACCAGGAAGTTGCCAGAGCGGCAGCTCGGTCAGAACAAGATTGTGCGTGACGCACAAGCACTGGAATCGCCGCGGGTCCTGACACGCCACGGCAAAACAGACGGCCATACAATTCATTTGACAATAAACTCCCATGCCCAGACCCTTAACAGGGATGTGAGCGGGCGGTGGCGGGGGAGAGGTCGGCAGCAAAAAACGAGGGCGGCTCGCGGCCGCCTCGCACGCACAGTGCCACAAAAGAGACCTTTCAGATGGCTCTGCGCCCATTCGCAGCACTAACGATTCGCAGGGGTCAAACAATTGAAAGATTGTTGGATCTTACCAGGTTTTGCATAACGACGCACACTATCACCACGCTTGACTCTGACGCGGGACTGTATCTCACTCAGGGTACGGCGGCGCTTCAACAGATCATTTGAGGCGCCACCGTGGCGCAACTGGTACAATGACGCTTAAACTCCGAGCTTGGCTGCAGCAGCTTTGAAGAGGCGCGCACCTCTGACGGCGCCCAGAGGCAAGAGGGGGCGCTTAGCAAAAGCATGGCCTACCCAAGCCCCCGGGGCGTCGCCCAGCCAGTCTGGGCAGTCGAACACAACGTCGCCATCGAAGGTCTGCGTCTGCGACGACAGCAGCCTCTCCTCAGGCGCCGCGCTCAGAGACCGCCAACGGAGAGCCGCCCTCCAGGAAGGCCCAAAAAGGCCAAAATCATCGATTTCCCATTGGGTTTTGAAGGATTGTGGCATTTGCTGTTTTTCGGCCTTCCGACGGCCCGAGACGGCCCAAGTGCCCCCAAAGATCGCCCAAGAGGCCCAAGACACGGCCCCAAGAGGCCCCCAAGACGGCCCAAGAGGTCTCCAAGACGCTCAAGATGGCCTCCAAGACGGTGCAAGAGCCCTCCAAGACGTCCTCCAAGAAGGCCCGAAAGAGTCAAAATGGCTTCCAGACGGCCAAGATGACCTTCAAGATGCCCACGTGTTCCCCGAAGGCGTTCCAAACCGATTCGGGGAACACGTGGTCCGATAGCTTGGCAGGTCTGGCCTCCACGTTCGGCCACATAGGCGCTTCCAACAAGGCAGGGGGCGGCGGTGATTCGCCGTAGGCATCTTCGATAAATTCTGGACCATTGAGTGTGGAAGGCCACTCTGGAGAAGTAAGAGGTCAGCCCTTCGTGTAGGCGCGTTCGAATTCTTACCGTCTACGCTAAAACCGTAATTACGCTACCGAGGAACCCCACATACTTAACTTAAATCTTCTGTGTTTGCTTAAGTTTATAATATATGCGCAATTCTGCGTTCTCAGCCCTCGTCGCGAATGTTCCCCGATGTGTCATCCAACTCGAGCCAGCCAGCGGCCGCGGTGAGGGACCCCCCTCTATGGTGTCGAGAAAATGCCACGCCTGCTATGCCCTGGACGACCGTCGTGCATAGCGGCCGCGGTGAGGGACCACCCCCTGCGCAGCCTCTATGGTGTCGAGAAAATGCCGCGCCTGCTATGCCCTGGACGACCGTCGTGCATGGCGCCGCGGTGAG